AAAATACTATACTCATAGTAAACATTAAAACAAACTTAAAGCTGACCATTTCTCCCCGAACTCATATGTATGTATGTAGATACAAAACAACTTGCGCGTGCTTTGCCGCAAACTGTGGCACTAAACACGATGCAGCCACAAGTGGCACAGAGCTCATTGGAAAACTTGTTTTTTAGGACAGCCGCTATTTGCAATTTCTGCAGCTGCTGAGCGTTTGCTTTCATGTAACGCTTTTCACTTTCATTCGAGTCGGCAGAGAGATTGCATGTTGGCAACGCAAATAAATTGCAAATGGAATTCGCAAACAAGAAAATAAAAACAAAACATACAGTGTGGAAATAGCAGTTATTAGATAAGATATTTGGCTTTTTGGTGGTTAACTTTTAAAGCAAAAATGTGCGATGCAAAGGATTTCTACACGGATGCAGTCATTTTTGTCACAGGTAAGTAATTGGCCAAATTTGAAGTTTCAAAAGTAGTTGCATGCCAACATATATACATGTGAATGTGGGTATAAATAAAAAAAAAACAATATTTATTTGTCGTGCGAGTATTTTAAAATTAATTAATCGATGGCTTCTTCCTTTTAATTTTACTTAATTTAAAGGCGCCACTGGCTTTGTGGGCAAAACTTTGCTGGAAAAGTTGCTTTGGAGCTTTCCCCAAATCGCACGCATTTATATGCTGATACGTGAAAAGAATGGTCGTACGGTGGCGCAACGTTGTCAGGATTTTGTACAACATAAAATCTTCGAACGCTTGCGTACGCATTTTCCGGAGCGTCTAGAGAAACTGGTCTATCTCAAGGGTAATATTGAGTGTGATGATTTCGGTGAGTAAACGCTTCGCTAAGCGACAGAAAATATCTAAGTTTTATTTTTTTCTATGTATACGAGTATAAATCAGTGATGATCGGAGAGAACTTTTACTCTGTGCGCTTGCAAATAAAAAATCTATAGAAAGCTTTAAAAAGCTTCTCCCCTGATTATGTTTTGGTAGTCTTGCGGTAATTTTTTGCTTATTGTTTTCAGGCTTGTGCCCCACTGATCGCACTCAGCTTTGTGCGCATGTGCAGATTATTTTTCACAGCGCTGCTACAGTTCGCTTCAATGAACGTTTAAAAGTGGCCGCCCGCGTTAATGCCATCGGCACTTGGCATCTTTTGGAGCTGTGCAAGGAAATGCCAAAGTTGAAGGTATTGTTGCTAAATGAAAAAATAAATTACTACTACATCCATAAGAAAAGAACGCATCATATAACATTTTCTTTCTAGGCAGGAAACAAATTTATCTTATGAGCGTTACGACTTTTTTGCGTGATTTTTTTTGTGCTGTAGAGTAGTAAATGTAGAGCTTTTTTATTTCTGCCTGCGCTTATTGTAGCTGCAAACCTTTTACGGATCAATAATATTTTGCATATTCTACAGTGAAACAATACATCGTCACTAGACCCGAATAAAGACGAGAACTCCAAAAGTTGACCGCGAAAAAAGGCGCGTAAAAAAATTCGGCGCAGAAAGACGCATAAACCTAGTTGACGGCGAAGAAAGAAACTTTATTGAACTCGACCAAAATGACTTAAGCGGTAACTGTGCCAAATAATAAGAAGAAGCATTGATTACAACCTCTCATGCTAGCTATACAAATGGACTAGTTCTTGATAAGGACCGGTCTAATACTCATGCCGAGACTTCTCATGCTGGGGCAAAAATCTCAAACTGACAACGTGAATGGTTGAAAATATTGTAATACATTTAGGGGATTGGAACGTGTTAACCGTCGTAAAATCTTACGATTTACGATTTAACGGGTTAACACGTCTTGTGAATTATGTGCAATATCTACTAAGTTTAAGCAGAATTTTAGATCCTATAGCTAAAATTTGTAATAGCCAACTAAACAGGGCTACCAACCCCTTCAGGAAACCGGTGTAGTTCGATGCAGTGGCTCGAGCCACCTAGCCATGTTTTGTAGCGGTTCAGCAACCAGTTAGTACCTCTGAAGTGTAGTTCAGTTCGGTTTTAAGTGGTTCTATTTTCTTTCTAAGATAGCAAATATGCAACTATGTTGGTAACGATTTTTGTGGCACCACATGTTACCTAAGTTATTGACAAGAAACACTTCACCATTCGCACTTACTAATTTTAAGTTTTCATTAATTATCTTACAGAGTTTTGTCTACGTTTCAACAGCATACTGTAATCCTGGTCGGAAATTTGTCGATGAGCTGATATACCCCACACTGCCGCCTGTCAATTGGAAAATGTTCGTTGATTGCACCAATAAAATACCGGATGCCTACTTCAATAGTTTGGCTAATTATATAAAAGTAAGTGTTGATTAAATTTATAACGCGAAATAAGTCTGGTACATACATATGTATCTTGAAATGGATTTACCAAACGGATCAGCTGGAATAATTTCTGAAACTTTTTTTCATGCAAATTATGCGAAACGAAGTTGGCCGCAGAATGCGCAATATAATTGTAGATTTTTTTCGATTTCGTCAGCTGCAGCAATTCGTTAAGCAATTTCGTTGAACTTATAGTTTAAAATAGAATTTAACTGTTGAAGCAGGCGGCAGCCCTCTTCTAAAAAAATATGCTATGTGTTCATTCAGGTCATAAGCTATGTATTATATGCTACATTTATCCAAAGAAAGAGCAACAAACATACTCCTACGCACACTCAGTAACCTTCACTTTTCCATTAAATTGATTTTAAATTCCTAATATAGTGGCAACCCTCGTCAAAAATAATTTCAAAATAGATGCAGTTATCCTCTCGCTTGATACGCATATTAAAATATTTTATTTAACGTGTGAGTTAAACTGATTTCGAATTTCTAAACAGGTGGCAGCTTTCTTTAAAACATCTTTTGGAAATACAGTTTTATTAAACCTCCCACATTTGATACTAAAATTTAAGTTTTTCGTTTAACTTGTCAACTAAATTGATTTCAACTTTTTGAACTGGTGTCAACCCACTTAAAGAATATTTCCGACATTCAGCTTACTTGAACCTCCCTCGATTGATAACCATAATAAAATAGTTTTTTTAATATTTTATTTTTTTAATTAATTTAAAACTACGAAAATGGTGGTAACCATCTTAAAAATAGCTATCGAAATAAAACTTTTTAAAATCGCCCTCGTTTAACGCATATTTTAAGGTATTTCGTTCAATCTGTCAATTTAATTTATTTAAAATTTCTAAAAATTTAGCAAACTCCTTAAAGAATATTTTCAATAAAAAAATCATATTGGAACCAATTTCGTTTGACGTACACATTTTTGTGATATTTTATTTAAGTTATTGGTTAAATCCATTTTTAATTTTGAACAGATGGCAACCCTCTTTAAAATATTTTCGAAAGAAACCGTTTTCGAACTTCTTTCGTTTGACACCCATATTGGTGTAATATTCTTTTATCTTAATTAGTGAGTTATTTTGACATTTTTAAAGGTGGCAACTCTTCTGCTATATGTTAATCAGGGTCTATATATATATGAGCCAGTTTAGCTGAAAAAAAACTAATTTAATCCTTTACATGGATAACTCCTCATGGCCTTCAGCTCTGATACTTTTCGGATATCCACCGTTGCCCAATACCGTGCAACCAGTTAAAACCGTACGCTCAAATATAAAGCGGGATTTATTGAGATTATACTAATCCTAAACTTGTCATTTAGGGTGCTATAACACCTACTACACCAACGTAAATGCACCATTACTTTCTCATCCACAGGGTCCCCATCCGAATACCTACACCTTTACCAAATCGATAGCCGAGCAAATTGTGAATGAATACAAACACTGCATACCAATTGTCATCGTACGACCATCGATTGTGACAGCAGCACATCGTGAACCATATCCTGGTTGGATCGACAATATACAAGGCATCACTGGCATAATGATGGAAATCGGAAAGGGTACAATTAGCAGCATACTGGGTGACAAAGATATCATTTGCGATATAATACCAGTTGACTTTGTGGTGAACTCACTGTTATTGATGGCACAGAAAGCAACACTGGGAAGGTTTGCAAAGTGAAGCTGTAGTTATATTTTTGTATTTACATACTTTTCTACTTATTACCTCTGACAGAGTTTACATAGCCAATGCAACATCGGGTGTCACAAATCCCATCACTTGGGCGCGTCTGGGTTGTCTGACACTGAAATGGTCGCGCATTTATCCAACTAAACGTATAATGATGTATCCGAATTTTAAATATCGAAAAAGTTTTCTGCTGCACGAAATTGCCGTAATTTTACTGCATTACGTGCCAGCGCTGTTAATGGATTTGCTGACACTTTTAAGACAGAAACGAAAATTTGTGCTGCCAATTGCAAAAAAATTTCGACAAGCTTGTCTAGCAGGTGCGTAGTAGAGATGAGAAGGAGTGTGAAAGCGAGTTGAGATAGGAAAAGAAGCTAGTATTTAATAGAATTTATATTTTATCTCAGGTCGCACGTTCTCGCTAAATGAGTGGATTTTTAAAAATCGTAGTCGTTACTATTTTGAGGAATTACTACAAAATAAGGCTTTGCATCAACTCTCTTGGAACTTGGAAGCACTGGACTATGACAGTTATATAAGAGAGTTTGTTATTGGCATACAAAAGTATCTGCATCACGAGCAATTTCATGAGAGTGCCAGTAGGTGGAGAATCACGCGGTGAGTGGGTTGGAAAATTTGCTGAAGGTCGTAGGTTTCCTTAAACCCCGATTTTTACTTTACAGCCTCTATTGGATCTGGACATTTCTGCACGTCTTTGTACCACTCCTGGTTGTATATTGCTTGCTATAAAGTAATCTTAACAATGTTGGCGAGAAAATACCTAAAAGTGAATATATTGTAAAAA